TGAGATACCACAGGAGGACATTGACCACCTGATCAGAAGCATGCCTAGGCGCGTTGGAGAATGCGTAGCACATCAGGGTGCATCCACACATTATTAAAGGTCAAAGGGCCTTAAAGTAGTGCAATCATTTTGAAATTTTTATCATTTACTTATTATGCTTCATTAAGTACTTCAAAATTTTATTAAAATAAAACCATTTAAACTGGGTGTTGGGATTTGTATGTCACTTAGTATATGTTGCAAAGGTTGAATAAGTCATCTAAAGGTGAACAACTTGAACGTGATCTTGATCACAACCGAAAAGGTTTCGCGATGTTAGAAGGCTGACGTGACGCTACTGGAAGCAAGAGTAGAAGTATTCCGTTAAATAACCTTGCGAGCCATGGTCTAATTCCCTCTTAAGGCTATACCTGAACGTAAAATTGTCCACAGATCATATTTTGAGAATAAAGGTAGATATTTTTCGTGAAAAATTAATTTTATCTTCAAATGCCCTTGATATTCAAGGTCATAGACATGCTTGAACGGAAAGTTTCTTGCTCTTCACATTTCTGATATCAAAAATCGGGGCTTCAATTCAAGAGAACCCTCTTGACCTTCAAATGTCCATGAGGGTCATAAGCACGTTCACGTTCAAGGTTTGACCCTTTCTCAACTTTGTTCTGCTCCATTTTTTACGAGATGGACACCCTTAAATACCCAAAAGGGTCATAGTTCAGATGATCTGCAAACACATAGCTGCAAGTCTAAATATAATGAATATTCTTAATGATTCAATGGTAGGTCACAATATGTTGGTGATGTAGCACTCAAAATTCTATAAAAATACCTACAAATTTGTTGATATAGATCCGACACATGCAGTTGAAGCTGTGGTTTCGTATCAAAAAGGTACTTCATTATCTGAACGCTTTTTTGTGGTTTGTGTTGATTCTCATCTAGCTTAGTTTATATTGAGTTCAGTGGTTTGCTTTTATCATGTATGATACCAATGACGCTTTGTTATGAGTGATAAAAATGTCATAAATAGCAGTTATGAAAATATTATTAATCTCCGTAGGAAAAGGTTTTGATATTAGCCTTTTTCAGTATGTTTAATGTAGGTAGGAAAAGACTCAAACTACGTTAGATACAAAAAAATGCATGCCTTTATTTTGCATATCCAATAGCTTGCCGAGGAGAGCTACCTATACGCAACATTTATGAATGCCCGGAGGATTTTTTCCAAGTGGCGACCATTGGCAAGAGGCACCTGTTTGCAAGTGTATCGGCCCCCAAAACTTGTTGAAGAATTGGGGTAGCAAGTTTTCTGGGGTGGGGCATAACAACACTAAATTACTATTACTACTATAATAAATATATTTACATGATACTTCAATTTCTGCTGTACCACAGTGAGACGGGTTGGACATAAGGAAAATTTGGACTCCTTGGTCAAATTCAAAAGGTGTTAGGTATCTGAAATGGATGTGGATATAGGAAAGGACCTTACCAAAATGATTTACCAAGTATGTGTAATCAGGATCACGTTCTTAGAGCGCAAGTATTCGATAGAGTGGAGCTTGATAGCATTACATTTAAAGACACATGCTGAAGATTAATCCGGATAAGAGTACTTGCATACTTTTTTATCCTAAACGTTTGCATAATAGAGTAAGGGGCAGAATTGCATTGAGCATCGACAACGAGCTCATTCCTATTGTGGAACAAGCAAAAAATCTTGATGTCATCTTCGACTCTAGTTGAAGATTTGACAAACATGTGTGTCATCTATAGAAGTCCACCTACATCAAATTAAGACTGTTATATGCTAATAGATTCATTTTGAACTTGAAAACGCGTAAGAAGTTTGTTGAAAGCTTGACAATGTCCAGCCTCCACTACGCTTTACCATATACTATCCTTGTCTTGACTCGGTGAATCGGTGTAGGATCCAAAGAATTCAAAACAACTGTTGTAGGTTTGTGTATGGTCTTCGAAAATATAGTCATGACTCCTCTAAGATCAAGGAGTTGAAATGACTGAAAATGGATCAACAATTTGAATATAGTCTTAAGGTATTTGTGCAAAAGATATTGTGTACTAAAAAGCCCGTCTACCTCCATAGTAAATTGGTAACTAGAGGAATCATTAATCTTAGAGATCTGAGACATAATAATAATCTGACAATGCCTTTGCACTACACCGCATGGTTTCAAAAATGTTTCACTTTCAATGCTGTGAGGGAATACCACTCAACCGATCCTGCCTAGAGAAGCAAAAGTGTAGTAACATTCAGAAAGCTAGTGAAAAATCAGCTGTTAGATCTACCATAATTAGTTGTTATTATCTTTGTTTTTCTTATGTTGTCATCCGTTCAGTATTGGTTCTTGACTGTTTATCAATTGATTGTATTTTTTCTCCTTTATTATTAGCTCACATGTTTGAAAGCCAGATCCATGTATTTATTTTTAGGTTGCATGTATGTGACTTTGAATTGTATATACATATTTAAGCACTCAATATGGTTGGGTGTAAGAATAGCCAACTGGCTAATCTTCGCCCTATTGTTGTGTTGCTAATAAAGACATTTATTATTATTATTATAGATTATGTATAGATCTACGCATTGTCGGGTTTTCAAGTTTTCCACTGTACAAAAGTATTGTCGACGTAGCAGATCTAACGTTCCTGTACTAAGAGACGGTCTCACGATGAAGGAAAATGTTATGTTTAAAAATAGCCAGTGTAATATGCATGAGGCTTATTTACATTTCATGTTCGAGTTGTAGCTGGAATTTATGTAAGATAATTTTCCCAAGTGTTTGGGGCCGGTCCAATTATTACCGCTCTCTGTGTAATTTTCTTGATTTCGAAAAACTTTACCTTAGGGTATACAATTTAAAATACAGCCAAGTGGATGGATTTAAGGGTAATAACGTCATGCTGCCTTAGATGTTTTTTAATGTATTAAAGCGAGATGTAAAGGGTGCGCAGGACTTGACTGATAATCCTGCAGCTGCAAATCGATCACGTCATATATGAGAAAATTTGATTTATTGAAAGTCTGAGCTCTAGAGATTTTCAGCATTTGATATTGTTGAACAATATTGCATTCCACTCACCAATTTTTTTTCTCAATGTCGCGTGAAACCCACATACCAATTATTATTATATTAGGTCCCAATTTCAAAGAAGACTCGCGTCTGATCTGTCAACCTTTTTGTGAAAGAATCAGGTTTATCGTGCTCAACGGGAAGTGGACCACATCGCCCACGCAAATAGACTCTCCATCTAGCGGCCATGTATTGGCTGGACCTTCAATTCGTGGACTAACATCTCTACAGTCCCACCGGTAAAGCGCGATTCAGTTTTTCCTCAGATGTCGATTCTAGTGGTAGATGGCGCTTCGCTATGCCTCATTTCGATAGATCACACACTTTGGATAGTCTATAGTTGCTATGCTTTCTCCGTTTTCCGGGAGACCCAAGCCTAGACCATGCTGATGAGTAGCCAAAAAGTACCAAACAGCTGTCCGTGGTTCCCTGTCTTTGGTAGAACAGACGAAAGCAGGGCACGTTTATTTTATTTTTAAATGTATTCTAGTAATATGCTTTCTAGTTCACTTCTTTCTAGTTATAGAAACTAGTTCGTCATCGAACTATCTTACACAAGAATAAACTTAGTGAAAGTATCGCCTCTCGTACTTTTTTGGTTTTCCTTTTTTTATCAAGATGGACTCGTATAAAATTTAAATTCTCGATTTAAATTGTAGTTCACATAGTTGCTATGAAATTTAAAAGTTTTCGTGTATACTTACCAACTATTGAAGTGTTTGCTATATTCATTTGCGGAAAATGAAGTTACTTTTTCAAGAACTCACGTTCCTTCCTAACAGACTTGACTTGCATTCCTCCATCAACACAATTAAAAAAAAATGCGACTACTCATAGCAAATATATTTAAAAATAAGTCAATAAATGAGAATCTACCAGAATACAAAATCAGTTCCTTTCGTGTTGTCTTCAATCCACCGCTCCACTTTCTCAATCAATTCTGGTGGCATTTCGGTTTTGTGACTTCCCGTCTTACCCTGTCTCATATGATTCGTCTCCGACTTCTCCAAACCCCTGTCTTTCCTGCACTTTTCTATCAGATTTTCATTATTTACCGCAGGATTTTTCCTCATGGTATCAAAGCTCAAGTGTTTGACGAGTTTAGCTACTTTCTCGTCCGACATTGGCCTTTCTACAAAGTTTGCTACTTTCCGGATCATCCCAGGTAAGTCCTTGCTCATCTCTTCATATCTGAGAAACATCACGTTGGGTTTGGATCGTTGCTTCCAGAAACCGAAGACGTGGCCCCAATATGGTGTATAAACATCTGTGGATAACACAAAGTTCAAAAATAATTAATAAAATGAAAAAATGCAGTTTTAAATAGAAGCTTTTGTTTAGCTGTTAATGGAACCAAAAAAAATAATTAAGACTATAATAAAGCTCCTCTGTCTTAAGCTTCTTCGTCTCAAGCTTTCAAATCTGTGGCAAATAGTTAAAAAGGGTACATTTTTTGAACTTATATAAAACCAGCTTGACGCTTTTTTACCAAGGAGACTAGACGAATTAGATCCTAGTCTCAATCTTGATTGTCATTTGAATGGCCTTTTATTCAAATAACTACTCTTACAATTTTACTGAATTGTCCTTAAAGCCAACCTATCAACGAATATGTGAAAATGTCATAACTCGAACAAATTAACTCATGCTTTTTTATCTATTTACCACAGAAATAAAATCGTGCCTCATTTTTGTAAAAAAAAATTGAAATAAAACATATTTCGGAATTTATATAGTACGAGTCTTTTAAGCTTTGCATATAGAAACATAGTAGGCCGGGCGGATCGAACGTCAGTACTGAATCTTAACCTCACTCTTTACTAAACTTAAATTCAAAGTTTCACAGCAATAGGTGCAGTGTTCTCACTACAGTGAATTTTTAAGTGTCACCAAGTCATTAGAAAAATGGAACTCAACCGAGAACATTTTCGTGCCATAATTTATTACAACTTTCAGAGACAATTATCGCAACAAGAATGCCTTGCTGAGTTACTGTCTGTTGAGTGGGTGTACCAAAAACGGCAGTCACCCAGGAAAACGTCAATGATGTGCGCAAACTCATCATTGAAGATAGACATGTGACATATCGCGAGATTGAGGCGTCCTTGAAGATCTCAAAGATCTCAATTCAAAAAAAATGTTCAATTCCGGAAACTCAAAAAATGTGTACAGCATTGTTAGTGGTGATGCATCGTGGATTTACTGTTATGAACCAGAAAATAAACGACAGTCGGCTGTTTGGGTGTTCCAAGGTGAAGAAAAGCCAACAAAAGTCATCCGTTCTCGAAGAGCAAAGAACTGTTACTGCGGATTGGTATACCACTATTTGTTTGCCAAAAATTATCACCGGGCTTCGAAAGATCAACCCCGAAGGAAGAATCATCCTCCACCAAGACAATGCAAGCTCGCACACAGCCCAAAAAACAAGGCAGTATTTAACGGAAGAAAACATGAACTTATTGGACCATTCTCCATATAGTCCCGATCTAAGTCCTAACGATTTCTTTACTTTCCCGAAAATTGAAAACAGACTACGTGGTCAAAGGTTCCAGTCACCAGAAGAAGCAGTTGTCGCATTCAAAAATGCCGTTTTGGATCTGCCAGCAATCGAGTGGAATAAGTGCTTCGAAAATTTGTTCGAGCGCATGCAGATGTGTATTAACCTTCGTGGAAAATACTTTGAAAATCAATAAAGTCATTTAAAACAACCTACCGTGTTGTTTTATTTCCATATGCGAAACTTAAAAGACATCCCTCGTATGTAGTTACGTCTACTGACTGAAATGGAAGCTTGTTTTTCAACAAGGTTTGGCTTCTCATCCTTTTGGCAATACATGTTAAAGATATTGTAAACTCACTGCTTACGGATTGACACATATTCACAACGTGGTTCGCAAGTCCTCTGTCAACTCCTCAACCAATGTGTAATTTTAAGCTGGTGTTTTACTTACATTCATTTTTAAGGTATCCTTCAAAGAATTTTTCTAAGGGTTCGTTGTATCCATATAGCATCTTATTCCAATGATACATAGAAACTATCTGATCTTTGGCATTTCTCATAACATATATTATCTAAAAAAAAATTACATCAAGTAGGTTGACTTCCTACATCCTGTTTAGAGTTTTTAAAGAAAGAGAATGAGTCAAGTCGTTTCAAACCGCGAAGTCTAATCGTTTGGTGCGATTAATCTTCGAGGTATAAAGCAAATCTATCATATTTCTGTTTCAATGAGAGATGTAGGGAAAACCTACAATTTTGATCCCCACCCAAACAATTTCTAAAAATGAATAGGAATCTCAGAAACGTATGCGTTATAATTACTGAGTCAATCTACTTGACGAAATATTCAGAACCTGATATCAGAACCATCATAGACAGAGTACCACAAATTTAAGGTTAGGCGAAATGGGTGGTACATTTAGGGTTCATAAAATTCAGAAAAATATATGTGTAGATATGAGCATCGCAGAACGCTAAAGTGGTGACGACGCCACCGCAGGCCAGTTCAAGTTTAATACCTCTTCCACAGTCGGCAGTGGCCTCCGCGACGTTCACGCAACGGCAACGATGGCAAAGTAATTTGCATTATACATCAATTCTTTATCACTTAATTTTCCCGCTGTTACCGGGATCAGAAGCTGCTTAATGAAAGAACGTTTTTGACTATTACTTAAGACGTTAAATTCATAACCTCCCACAATCAGCCCACAACCCTTAAGTTTTAAACTCGACCAAAAATATCCGAAATCGATCAACAACCTGTGAATCATCAAAAAACTATTATGCGAATATTAGTAGGATGAACACTCTACAAGGTAGTCAATCTGTACCTTTGGTTTTTTCAAACCTTCTTGTATATCCCTCGGTAGAAGCTGCCAGGGTAAATGTGTTTTCAGACATACTGGACCTTTTTCGTATTCCTTTTTGATGAAGCCCAAGGTATCGCGAGCATGGTGTGGTGAGTTTTCATCGTGTGGCGCAGCCCATGATAACCTAGAATCATGATTGCAATGTGCAAAGTGCCGCAGCATAACTTCCTTTCTGAAAATCCTCGCCATTAAGTATCGTTTGAGAGCCGGGACTATAAAGTTTTTTCCCGACACAGCTCAGTCGCCATCATGCGTTGGAACAAGGATTAGCGTGATTTTGCAATTGAGGTCTACTTATCGAGCGGATGTTCTGTGATCGCAACCCAGCGCGCCTTTGGGAATCGCTTCAATTTAGCCCAGTTGGCCCTGTCGTACAGGCAAACTGCAAGTGGGACAAGAGAAGAACTGAAGCCTCCGACTCATGAGATCACCTGGAAACGTTTGGGCCGATGTTGCGATCACCAAACATGCGTCTGTCCTTTCCGGTAGCTTGCCGCGAGAATTCTTCATGATGGGATGATGGACCAGGAACTTTTTGAACGTGACTTCAGTTCTGGGATGAACGCGTATGAACGTCGATAAAAAATAAATTCAGCTATGGTATAGATGAAGTTCCAACAACAATAGTGAAGCTTTCCATTCCAGTTTTAAAACATGATTTGTGCTTACTTATTAATAATGCTTTTAGACAAGGATCATTCCCAGAGAATTTGAAAATAGCTGTTATAAAACCAATTATTAGAAAAGGTTATCCAGAGCAACTAGAAAATTATAGGCCAGTCAATATTTTAACGGGTTTTTCAAAATTAGGCATCAGTAAGAGATTATTAGAATTCGTGAATGAGTGTAATTTATTTAATACACATCAGCATGGATAGCTACATGGGAGATCAACAGATACTGCAATCTTTCAATTTGTTCAAACAATACTTAAGCAATTAGAGGAGGGAAATTTAGCGGTTGGTTTCTACCGGGAATCTTGATGACCTGGTGCTGGAAATTCTTTTGCAGGGCCTATAATGATTGGTACTATTTGTGCTTTCAAACCCCACATTCTTTGTATTTCGATTTTCAGGTCCTGGTATTTTAACATCTTTTCAGATTCTTCTTCTTTTACAGATGCATCCGATGGTATAGCCACATCAATTATGTCACACTGCTTTCTGGAGAAGTCTTTTAACACAATATCTGGCTTGTTGGCCGATATTGTCCAGTCGGTTTGAATTTGTTGGTCCCAAATGATTACATCATTACGTTTTTCAACAGCTTTAGGAATGTGATCATACCAGTTCTGTGGTACTTCGATTCCGAAGTGTTTGCATATGTTGTAGTGCAAATATGCACATACTTTGTTGTGTCGGTCTATATATTCCTTTTTGGCTAATACCGGGCAACCGGTCATTACGTGATGAACAGTCTCATCGTATTGCTTACACAACCGACATTTTGCGGTTACATTTTCTCCATGTATCCGCTGTTTTACGTAATTTGTGGCGATTGCCTGATCTTGGGCAGCTACTATTAAGGATTCTGTTTCCCCTTTCAATAAACAATTTTCCAACCACCTATATGTACCATTCCTATCGATTCGTTCTTCAATAGATTTCGTGTCAAGCTGACCATGCATTATCTTTTCCAAACACCTATTTTTTCTCTCTGTTCTTCCATGTTTTTATTATCTCTTATTATCATTATGCCCATCTTCATTAGTGTGGATCATCATCAAACAAAGCATGCGCCACTGAGCTGACAACAATCCTCGAGAATTGCATCACTGGACCGGTATGTAAACAGGATTTCTTTTCCGCAGGTAGATGAGTTCGAGTTACGGGACATTTGGTTCTAGCAAGAAGGCTCAAGAACATCGATGGCTTGTGTCGAGGAACATTTCCCAGAGCACCTCATCTCAATTAGTGGCGAGTGGCAAGATGTGAGGATCAACATTCAAGAAGAAGTTGTCAAACGTAACGCCTGCTATGCTGACAGGAGTCACCTATCTAATCTGATCGTTAATACTATGTAAAACAAAACTTTACATTAAAAAAGGATGTAAAAATGTTTTGAATCACCCAATGGGTTTTATAAAGTTTTGAAAAAAGGAAGTTATGCTACCAAGGAACTTTCTTTGAATAAAGCTCACTTACTCAGCAAATGGTACTCTGATATGAATATCCTCCTTGGCTCCTTCGAAATCAAGGTTGTGCATTATCATCCATACCATTTCTTGAGTCCATGTTGTCCCTAAAAATTGACTATACTTTTTTACAATGTTTCAGAAACAAGGTTGTATTGACGAAGTTATATAAGGGTGTTGCAAGTATAAGATAAATTATTGATATAGAACACATTAATGATCTAGTTATCTGCATTTGCCAGGTTCGAGTCCTATTTTTGATTCATAAGCTTTGGGCTTGTGGACCATGCAGCTAGCAGCTTCAACTCCTTTTACGTAGAATGAATTACATCACTAGCAGGTATTTATGCGTTACGTCATTAGCTGGGAATCGCAATCGTTTATCGGAAAAAGGGTAAATATACTAAGTGACATATAAATCCGAACACCCAGTTTAAATGGTTTTATTTTAATAAAATTTTGTATAAGTACTTAATGAAGCATAATAAGTAAATGATAAAAATTTCAAAATGATTGCACTGCTTTAAAGCCCTTTGACCTTTAATAATGTTTGGATGCACACTGATGTGCTACGCATCCTCCAACGCGCCTAGGCATGCTTCTGATCAGGTGGTCAATGTCCTCCTGTGGTATCTTATTCCAGGCAACCACCAACTCCTCTCGAAGTGCTTCTAGAGTCTGAGGAGGACGTTGCAAATTGAGCAATCTCCTACCCATCATATCCCACACGTGCTCAATTGGGGATAAGTCGGGAGATCTTGATGGCCATGGTAACAATGTGACATCATCATGTTGAAAGAAGTCTATTGTGACTCTTGCAACATGTGGTCGGGCATTATCTTGTTGGAAAGTTGGATCTGCCAGGGTGTCAAGGCAGGGTAAAAGATAGGGTTCTAGAACTTCGTGGATATAACGCTGCGCGTTCATGTTATCTCTGATGAAGATTAAAGGTGACCTGGAACCATAAGCTATAGCACCCCAAACGATAACTCCCACAGTGTGATGAACATGTCTTTCAACAAAAAACTGTGGATTCCTCCTTTCACCACGCCGCCTTCTAACCCTGGCACGACCATCGTGCATGCCTAAGCAAAATCGAGACTCGTCACTAAAGACAATACTGTTCCATTCCTGATCCCAGAGTGACCGTTGTCTGCACCACTCAAGGCGATTACGTCGGTGTTCTCGAGTTAAAGGGAGGACCCAGTGTGGCCGGTATGAAAACAAGCCAAAACTTCTCATTCGTCGGTAAACACTTCGGATGCCAATAGGTCTTCCGTGTTCTGCAAACCATTCATTTGCAATGGACCTGGTAGTGGAGAAACGGTCCCTTAAGGCCAATAATCTTAGGCGGCGATCTTCACGGTCTGTTGTTCTACTGCGGCGTCCAGTACCCCTTGCTCTTTGCGTACGGCCTTCTCGAAGCCATGCCTGACAACACCTAACCACAGTGTCTACACTTCTTTGCACTCTATCTGCAATTGCCCGAAAAGAAAGTCCAGCTTCCGGAAGTCCCACTATACGGCCCCTATCAAACTCGCTAAGTTGACGAAATCGTACAGGTCTCCGTACTCTAGGCATCGTAACCGATCGTAAAGGATGTCAAGAACCAAAATCCGCCAACGTTGATTCTTTACTGCGGCTGAAATATTCATTTTTAGAGCGTTAGTGAATTAAAAAAAAAGCAGTATAAAAACCGGAATGTCCAACTGATAAGGCTGAAAATTTTTTCATTTGTTATTTACAGTAAGATAAATACATTCACCAACTTTTATTAAAATAAAACCATTTAAACTGGGTGTTCGGATTTATATGTCACTTAGTATAATCAAGATATACTTTTTGGTGACAAAAAATTATATCCACATAATTTCTGAATATACCTTTTCACATCATTTGACGCGAATGATACTGTTGTATATGAAATTGCAGGTACAACTAAGCAAAAAAGCACATATACGAATACCTGATTTTGGAAATCCACATATCCAGACATCGCCATCCCTTACGGGAAACTCATAAAATTTATCTAATTCATACGATTTTGGTAGTGTTGTTCCTTTCACAACTACAGTTTCACGTTCCATATTGAAACCTTAGTTGCATATGCTTAATATCGCTCAAGTTTTGAGCTATAAATGTATTTAAATAATTGTACAGCAAACATACGTTGCGATATTTATTATTCAGAGAAAAATGAAAACAATAGCTTACTGACACAATTAAAGAGTTGTTCAGTGGATTAAGCAGATGTGGAAAATATTTGAATTGACGTAACACTAGTTAAAAGTAGGTACCATATAATGTCTCGAGTCCGAATATGTGGATGTTACTCGCGGTCACAGAAAGACTGGAATCCGTTGTTGCCCTTTTCAAACTTATTCGCCTATGAGAATCATTTATTATTCAGCGCTCCTCGAATGCCTTGCCGATTTTAAGGGGCGGAGAGTGATATCAACAATTGAAGAGTGGAGGGGGTCATCTGCTACATCAGTGCTTTTGAGAACAAATGCTCCTATGAAAATTAAAAGCGAATGACCTTGTGATAATTCGAGAGCGGGGGACGCGGGACAAACTCCGCCTCTCAAACTCCTTCAGGGTCTTGACTGCTCCCGTAGGTCTCCAGCGTCCACAAGAAGGCGTTATCGCCGTACTTTGAGGAACACTGACTCAAATGGAAACGTCCTGATCAAAGTTGATAAAGATCGCATTCTCAACAAATCATTGACAATCCGACCAAAGTACTTCTTCCTTGTGTTCTCAGTCACAGCAGTAATAAGCCTTTCGTGAGGGCTACAGTGGACGCAGGATGTGTTAGTGCAGAGATCAAGTTAATAGTGTGCATATCAGATTCAAGACATATGCCTGTGCAAGGCTTTTGCAAAGAGTAGTTATATCACTTGATGGAAAATAAACCTGGTCAAATCTAGCTGTATAAACTGATGTCGGCTCTTGGGCTATTGCTGGTTTAAAAAAAACTGCGATCTACGGCTTGGCAATTTATTTGCTCTTAAGCGAATCGAAGTTCTGCCAATTATTAGCGTGTTTCGTTCTGTATTTACCGAGGCGGTGTTGCCAAACTGACATAAAACGTTTAGCAAACGATACATTTATACTGAGCTGTCTGGGATTCAGTTCTTTTCATGGTTCTTGGTGGTTATATCATAAATCCATACAAAATAAGCAAGCATATCGTCTTACGGTGAGGTTGTCTAAATAACTGGCAACTCTCTCTAGCTGACATTCCTCTTTCGTTATTAAATGCAATCGTGCAACATTCCGTGTTGAGCCCAAAACGATAAGTAAGCATAAGATTACAGGTTTTGAGAATAACTTCCGTCTACATGACGCGAAGATCAGTCGCGAAAAGCAAGATTTATAACCTGGTTAAATAAAAAGTGTATACAAAAATTGGAACAGCACGTATTTAGATGTCATCATCTGATTTGTGGACGCCATGTTTTTGGTTACATCTCTTAACTCTCTCTAACTTATTCTCCCCATACAACTGTCTTCTCTTGATGTACCTACTCTTTGCAGATCGCTCATTGCACATTGTATTTGTTATGTGTTGGGAGTTTTCGGGAAATGAAAAATATGAAATATATTGAAGGATTAGACTGATAAAATACATTACTTATGCAATTTTATTGTCAAGATTCCTCAGAATAAAGATAATCTGTTCAGGCTGTCATCTTGACTCAGTGACCTTTCACCTGTCACTGGAAAAGTTTACGTTCTTCTAATTAAAGTCCAAGTCCAATGTAGAGATCTACCGAAGGTCTATTTTTCTTTCATCGACAATTCTGCTAAACTAACATAAGTTCTCCTAGCCTTACATATGTGGATGTCATTTAAACTTTAGAAGGAGCTTGATCTCAAATTTAAATACGTACTTGGACGTAAAAGACGTAATATACCCACCTGATTTTGGACTTCCACAGATCCACACATCTTCGTCTCTCACTGGGAAATTGCTGAACTCATCCAGGTGTTTCACGTACTCACAATTCAATGTAGTGCCTTTAACAACTGGATGATTCATCCTCATGAATCTTTTCTCCACTAGGTAACACGTACAACTACGCTCGTGTTTTGTACTATTTTAAAGATATCTACACAAATATTTGTTGTTTATGTATTGTGTACTTAATCGTGTTTCCATTCCATAAGAAGTAACAATAGTAAAACGTCTCAACTGGGTCGTGGTCTAGATATTTCCTAGCATACTTGAAAATTGTGATGAAGTATGTCATCCATGTTATCAGAAACCTTATGCAGTATAGACTTAGTACTCGTATAGAACAAATATTTTTCCAAATGGAAATCATACTAATTTTTCTGTGGTTAATGTTACACCTTATGGAAAGTTTCTTTGAATAAACAGTCTGAAAAGAAGTTATCTAAAGCTATAACCATCTTTTCTAAGCCTCACTGTAAGCCTACCGCCTTTTTTGCGCCCACGCAGAAAATAATCCATAACTAGCTTCCGCTAGGCTTAGACGAAGTCATAAGATAAAAGTTGACAATGGAGAGGAGAAAATAAAAACAGAAACAGAACACGTCAAAATTTTACAAAGTTTGTTATGCAAAATCATTGAAAGAAACTTACGGACCACATACGTACATGTAAAAGGCCAGTTATTAAAGTTGTAACTCATCTCTGCAGCTTCCATGCCCTTGAGGAAAATTCCATACAGCGGTTTGAAAAATACTACAGGCTATATGTTCTTAACAAGCAAAAAGGTACTAATACGATGTTATTGTGTCAGTTGCATGTACTGTGATCGCAAATTCCATCTATTATTTGGCGCTATGACCTTATATCTCTCTATTTATACATTTTTTTCTTTATCTATTTACTTGCCCATTAATTCAGTTTAAGTGTAGAATGTTCTTAACATATACCGGTTTTAATGTGTTCACTATGTTATTTAACTACATTTGGCTGATGTCTATTATTAATCTATTCTTTCCCAATTTATCTATTTATATTAATGTTTAGGGAAGGATTGAAAAATGTTTATACAATACTCTCTCCTTTTGAGTTATTTCTCAATAAACTTTTTTATTATTACATATTATTATTTGAGATCGATGAAAGTCATAGGATGTGGATCTGGTCTTGGCATACAGGTACATATCCGTAACTAAAGTAAGGTTGATTGTTAAAGTATCCTAGGTTCGTAGCTCTTAATTGATGTCCAAGTGAAGATCCAACAAGGGAGACCCCAAAAAGTGTAAATTTAGTCCAAGGTGGTTGGTCTTGAGCTTGCCCTATGATTACCCGCGCAAAGAGTCAGGTGGATAATGGAGAAGTGGATTTCTTAACAATACTTTCTGACATGGAAAAACATCTGTAGACGTCTCCGCTATTCCCAGGAGCTCATCTTAGGGACCAGTGTTAAGGATGGACTCTTTTCCTAATCGTTGGAGTCTTCAGCGCATGTTGTGAGTCGCTGCGAGGCTTGGAGCTACTTCAGGCAGACTATTCTGGGGTCTAACACGTTGGACCCGCAGAATGTTAAGGAGCTGGGACTCAAGGCTATATTTAACTTCGCTAGAAGGGCGAAGCTTGAGGCTTACGGTATGTAGCGGTGCATAAGGGCTCCTCGTGGGGGCCCGTATGCCTCTAAATTCATTTTTTACAAGGTGGCCCAAAGCTTAGGGTCATCCAAAAAATGAGATTTAAAAGAGGAGGTCGAAAAATAAACGTGGCCCTAATAGTTGTTGCCTTATTAGACCCACACGCCTAACCACGGTGCTCTTAAAATTAAGCACGGTGATAAAAATGACAATTGTTTGACAATTTGAATCAATTACATTATCATTAAGATCAACTTACATCGTTTCTTTCGAGACAATAAATCCAAGAAATGGAAATAAACAAGCTTTGTAGGTTGCCTGCTCATATTAAAAAGTTATTCAAAATGAAACATTGAATATATCGCATGGCACTAACTACGACGTTTTCTCTGACTGCCACAAATACAGATGTTTTTCACGTGTGGGTGTATAGGTAAGCAAAAGATTCTATTTCACGGACCGGCCAACCAGCTTGATAGATTTTGTCATATGAATTGCCATTGGATTCGTCCTAGTACTGCAATTGTTACTGAGTATTTTATGAAAAATAATTTAATAATAAAATCAGCTTTGAAGTTCTCAATTTACGGACTTAAAAGGCTTGATGGATTTTCACATATGACATGTTGTTGGATTAGTCTCAGCAATGCGAGCCATATTCGAATTTCATTAAAACAAAATGGCGGATTTTTACAGAAGTGATCAACCTTGTAATTCTTCTTTCACGGGTTCAGCGTATTTTGATGTATGAAGTGTCTCTTGATTTCTTGATTTGTAGTAACAGTGCAAGCGACACTGCGAATATTATTATATTGAAAAAAGTCTTCTTTGAGATTCCTATTTTACTTGCTGTGCCTTAAGCGGCTTGATGGATTTCAGCATATGAGATGTCTCTAAGTTTACCTTAGAAGCTCAACTGAATCTCAGTTCTTTACAAGTTGCGGTGAGCTGGAAAAAGGAAGACTAGCAGCGGCTTCCTTTCAGACGAGAGACCTGTAAGTTATCACTGCTTAGTGCTTCCAAAACATAGGTACAGATCTTGACGAACAAAAAACGTTTTTGTTTAGAGGAGGATTAATCGATTACTTTAACAGACAGTCTCGGAACCCGTTGGCACCGGCGGATCGCCGACCATCTAGCTCTCCTCTACCCCAATAGGCTTGGCTCTTCAGAGCTCTCCTTCATTATGCTGATCCTAACCGTGTCGAACCTCGTACATCCAGAACTGGCCGATGCGACCGCTCCTTTGTCCCTAGGGTGGAAAGATTTGTGAAATAATCTACAAGGAGGCTCTTTCCATCTACTAACTTAGGCAGTTAAAAAATCGGATAAAAAAAAGTAGTCGGATTGTTTGTATTTTTCATTTTTCTACGATCACATTCTGTATACACCTTCTCTTCATGGCTCCTATATCCTACACTGAAGAAAGAGGCATGAACTCAAAAAACTTTTATCGACGAGAATATTCAAATCACATTATTTTTACAAGAAATATATTAATTATTCTACTACAAAGTCAGTATTTTTCGTATTAACATTAATCCATTCATCAAACTTCTCAATCATCTCTGGGGACATCTCTGCCTTATGACTTTTTGCTTGGCCGCGTCTCATATGACCAGTTTGTGCTTCGCCTAGACCTTTTATTTGCCGTCTTTCTTTAATTAACTTCTCGTTGTTGACCGCAGAATTGGTCTTCATGCTATCGAAGCTCAAATGTTTCACTAGCTGGTCTACTTGGTCGTCAGTCAGTGGCTTCTCCAAGAAGCTTGCTACTTTTCTTATCATTCCAGGCAGGTCCTTGAGCATCTCTTCGTACCTCAGGATCATGACGTTGGGTTTGTGTCGTTGCTCCCAAAATTCTAATACGTGGCTCCAGTATGGCAAATAGACAGCTGTGTACAAACGTGTGTAAATTGAATAATTCCTTATCACTTTACCACAAGCAGTATGTGTTGGGCTTTGTGTTCTTCCAGACAAGTATTTTTGAATGAGGTTTTTCAGGTTTTTACTAAGTTTGGACAATGCCTTTCCATTTGACATGGAGCCTCCAAGGTTATTTCAAGGTCTTATTATCTTTTTTCCAGATCATCAATCGCAAATGATGAAGATTCTACGTCTGGACTTGCATCTTAGATCAAGGTCACCAATAGAGGTCAAATTGTGGTCAAATGTGTGAGGATAGGGTAAATTCCCTAAGGTTATTGATGAAAAGAGTCATTACAAGGACAGATCTCCAGTAACTTTTAATCAGTATGTCAATGCTAATCTTGGATTTATTCCTCAAGCCTCACCTTCAAGGTCATTTCATCTGAGAATATCCCGTTTTGACACCGGTAATGAAAGATCTCACGTTCTACTATGTTGAAGGCGAGCAAGGTAAATTCCAAGGTCAATGTTGAAATCCTAACTCAAGGTTATCAAACTGAAGGACTCCACTGTAGGTCAAATAGAGGTGAAATGTGTGAGGTTAGGGTGCATTCCTCAAAGTTGAAGATAACAAAAAATAAGGACAAATCTCAAGTGACTCTCACCTAATATGTCAATGATAATCCTGGATTTAACCCTAAACCTCACCTTCAAGGTCATTCATGGTGGACTTTTTTTTCAACTGGGAATATCCCGTTTTGACACCAGCAGTGAACGATTTGACGCTCTACTATGTTAAAGGCGAGGCGCAAGATCCATTCCGAGGACAATCTTGAAATCATAGTTTAATGTTATTAAAGGTTATCACCAGAGATCAAATATAGGTGAAATGTGTGAGGTTAGCGTGAATTCCTCATAGTTATTGATGAAAAAAGAAAAATTATAAGGGCAGATCTTCAGTAACTTTCAACTAAGATTTCAATGGACTCATCCTTAAATCTCACCTTCAAGGTCATTTCGGGGTCAACGTTTTTTCAACTGAAAATCTCCCATCTTGACACCGGGAATGAAAGGTCTCACGTTCTATGTTGTTATGTTACCGTTATCTTGAAGGCGAGACGCAAGGTCAATTCCAAGGTCAATATTGAACTCCTAATTTAGGGTTCAACGTGACCACTAGAGATCAAATAGTGGTCAAAAGTGTGAGGCTGGGGTGAATTCCTCCAAAGTTATTGATGGAAAAAGATCATTATAAGGGCTGACCTTCAGTAACTAGGATGTCTATGCTCATTTCAGGGTCAACCTTTTTTTCTACTGAGAATATCCCGTTTTGATACAGGCAATGAAAGATCTCACGTTTGACTATGTTATCATATACTACCGTAATCTACTAGCCGAGCCTCTTGCTACTCTCCTAGGAATTTTAGAGGTGTCCTTGATCTTACATATCATTATACACGTCCGGACGTAGAATTTCCAGTTCATTTGATTGCTTGTGTTAAAGAGGGGGGTTTCTATTCAAAGAACAAAGTTTCTTCTTGAGATGAACTGTGAGGCTCAAAGTCAAGTCCATGGTCAGAATTATCGTACCTGTACCTCTGGTGACACTCGCTGGGTTATTACGTGTATACTAGGTAGTTCCCATTGCTATGAGCGCCACCTATGGAGGAGTGGCACAACGATTGTCATTCGGCTATAGTAAAGAACACAAAGTTCAAGTTAATCAGTGCTAAACGATATACGAGGTGTGGAAATTAAGTGATTAGGCTGATTTTTTTCAAATATCGATACAATTTTATATTCCAGC